CGCCCGCAGAGCGCGCGTCGCCACTCCTCCCGCGGCGTTGTCCCGTGAGATCCCATAGACTCTTGTAGGTCCCGGGTGTTTCCATGGGAACTTCGGGACCAGCATTTCAATTTCTGTAAAAAACAAACAAACAGACCCAGACGCGGTTTTGGTGGGGATCGCATGGAACCCGTGCGTCAGTTTGGGGAGCCCCGCCACCTTCATAACAGTGCGCCTTCCCGGCTGCGAACAGGGGACAGACACGTGGCCTTCGCCTTAAGACTCCGCGTCAGACCGAACACGCGGTCGGGCCAGCCACGCCTCGTTGCTGGGCGCCCAGCTGGCCCAGCTGCCGCGGGCCCCCCGGGATCTCCAGACGACCGTGTCCCAGCACCGCGACTGCCCCTGGCCTGCTCTCGACCAGTCCCACTTCACCTGCGCCTTTCTAGTCGCGCCTAAGCCCTGTTTCCGGGAGGAATCGTTGTCGGGCTCCATGTCATTCCGAATTACTTAGCAGACGGTGTCCAATCGATTACTCACTGAATCTGTGACGTCGGTACATAGTTAACTGTGTGTCACGTGAGTGTCTCAAGTCTAGGGACCGAAGTTTGCCCCTACTTCGTAGCTATTCTGCTCTGAATGATGGTGGCGTAATGTGTTTCAGCTTTAATTTTTTAGGTTTGAATGGGAATAGTTTGATTTCGTGGGTGTGAAAGGCTCCTTTTTGTGCCAGTATTTTTAAAAGCTTTACATTGCATGGCATTAGATGTGGAAGAACAGATTATGAGAGCATACAAATACACTCTTATCCGTGAAATGCATGGAATGTTTCTTTTCTTTCGCAAATGCCCATTTTCCTCCTTGTTTTCGTGTATTTAATGTTTTCGATGTGTGTGCATGTAAAGCAATTATAAATATATATACACAGGTGTGTTACACATAAAATATATAAACAGTATATAGTGTAAGTAAAATATGTGTGTATATGTGTTTAAATATATATGTATGAAATGATTCTTATTACCTTTTAAAATATAAAGTTCCACACCGGTTTTTTTTTTGTTGTTTTTTTTTTTCGTTTTGGTCTATATTTATAACTAAAAAGAAGGCCCTCACCTTTTTTAATGTTAGATTCTACATGCCATTTCAGTGCTAAGAGATATTGTTTTATTTTTGTCCAAGATACACCCCTCTCAAAAACAAAATGTTCTGTTTCCAGATCATCTTTCTTTTTTCACTAAAGATTAAGATTCAGTGCTTACATTGTCCCATACTTAAGTATGCGTCATACATTGAAATGAGTGTGTTTTGGTAATTTTAATTTCTCCACTTAATCAGTGATCGTCTTGACGACTCTTAACGCCTGGCTTTTCCATAAGGGAAATAATGTAGGTGGTACCAAGGAATCGCGCATCCCAACCAACGGTACTAATTAAGTACAGTAGTAGTTTTTGTCTTCATTCCCCAGTGTCAGTAAACAATGGCGAATTTAGGGGGTGTCTGCGATTCAATGAAAAACAAATGGGAGAGCTGCAGAATTAAGGAAATAATTTGGAATAGTTCACCCCGCTAGTTGGGGAATTCAAAAAATGGTCTTCTTCCTTTTAATTATCACAAAAGTGGACATTTGTTTTATCCACCTTCAGATATTTTCCTGTTACTTCTGTCAACACAATGCAGAGCTATTATTCCAAGAACATTTATGCATTTAAGAGGCTCTACAAGCCCACCCTTTTCTAGAATGTGCTGGTGTCTTTGCCGTGTAAATACTGTGAGGAAGGAGGGCTGTGATGGCCTTGCAAACAGGAAGCCTGCCTTCAGATTCTGTCTTAGCCACTTTCCAGCCGTGCGACCTTTGATGGTCATGTCATCTCCGAGATAGTCCCGTCCTTCTCTGTGAGGTCACTCCAAGTCTCCACCCCAGGGGATCGTGTGACAGTCTCAAGGAATCGAGGCCACTGGCAGGCACACGGAGCTCATTAGGTGCCTATTCATTTCCCCCCGTTGCAGTGATTATTCATTAACAGTAGGGAAGTTATGCAGGGGGCGAGTTTGGTAACCCAGTAGTGACAAGGAGGCCAGCGGTGTCTGCGTGTGCTCAGTAACGGCCTTACATGTATTCAGTCTACGATCCAGCAGCAGCTTACCGCAAAGCTGGCAGCCCTTGCCAAAGGCAAGCTGGCCACCGCCGAGGAAGCCTCTGTGTCTGTCCCCTCCCCTCAACTCTTCCTCCTCCTTCTGTGTCTTGTTACTTTAATTTTTAAAAATGTAAATACTAATATAAAATCACTAATATCTATTCAGAAAATAAAGAAAAGGGTGTTGCTCTGCAGCTGCTTCTCACCACGTGTGGCTGGGCACGCACGGGTGACAGCAGACCCTGCCTGGGATGGGACGGGACGAGGCGGGTGGGAGGTGGCAGAAGCTTCCCCAAAGGATTGTCCCTGGGGTGCACTACCAGCCTGTTCTCACGTTGCGGGACACCCACTCAGGAGGAAAGTACTTGCGTTTGGCCTCCCCGGAGTTGGTAGGACAGGGCGGGGCCTCCCTGGTAGGACGGGGCAGGGCGTCCCGTACCCTCCGTTTGTGGAATTCTGTTCCCAGCGCTGTGTCGCGAACTGGGCCTTGCGTAGGTGAGACTCTGCCATCAATGACCCAGTAACATGTTTGCAGGGTCCCTGGGCTTGGAACGGCCTTTGCTGCCTCTGTGCGTGAGGGATACGGAGCTACTGCAGAATCGTCGGGTTATAACCATTCTGTCAGTCTTCGGCGCCGTTTCCCAGGCTGAGCCCCTGAGAAGTAGACATCGCGATGTGGCGGAACATTACACCCAAACGCCATCCCGCTTAGAAGTGCCGTGGGGGGCTGCACAGAGCCCCCCCGCACAACTTCGCGGACCCTGGCGCGCATCGCAAGGTGTGGCCACCAACCGCCCTGTCCCGACCCCATTTGGCCTTGGGAGCTTTTCTTCAGACAGCATCTTGCAGGATTTTGTTCTTCAGCCATACCTGCAGGAAACGCCAGTAGACATGTTGCTCGACTTTCTTCTGGCATTTATTTGGCGCTCTAGGAAATCTGAGGCCGGCCCGCTTTTCCCGTTTCTTTCTGGTTAGTTAAGCCTCCCCCGCCGCCCAGAGGCACCGTGGCTGGCATTTGCGCGGGGCGCTCTTTATTTCTCTGGCAACGCTGACGCACCGGAGACAGCTGGGCCCGTGTTCAGAAAGGGTCTGGGCCGCCATCTCCAGTGCAGGGCTGCAGGGGGCGGTGAAGGAGCAGGCGGCCTGCGCCTCCCGGAGCGGATCCGGTTCCCACACGCCTGGTCTTAGCGGGTCCGGTTCCCATGCTCTCGGTCATAGTGCATCCAGTTCCCAGGCACCTGGTCATTCTGGGCCTTGAGGTACAGAATCTGCAGGAAAGCAGTGGGAGAGGCGCCTACTCCTATTTCCACGGGCATTCGGTGTGCAGTGGTATTTTCAGCCCGTTGTTCTTCAAAACCTACACCAATACAGAAAACTCACTGGCACTTCACATGTTGCCCAAAGGTGCGGTTGAAGGACTGGTCCTAGCTACTTTTCTGTCTTTCAACTATCGTAGAGCCTTGGAGGCAGCTCACTTGACAGAACTTAGAAGCCAAGGCTGCTTTGTTTGCTTAATGCTCTAAATTCCGTGGAGGTGACATGCCTTCCTTTGGACCGCTCCTCCGTGCTGAAAGGCCTGTTCTCGGGGCTCAAGGAAACTCCTTCACTGCCCTCAAGTGGTACCAGAATAATTCGATATTAAAATCGTAAAATTTGGGATTTTGTATTTCCGGTTCTTTGTAGAAATGAATCGCTAAGGTAAAAGACCAATACAAGAATTGGCACCGGGATTACAAAGACTGCCAGCCTCATCGACGAAGGTGTTGTTGTTACATGAGTATAACGCTTAGACTCGTACCCGGCCCTCGTAACTGTTAGCTGCTATCATTACGGCGGACGAAGGTGTTGTTGTTACATGAGTATAACGCTTAGACTTGTACCCGGCCCTCGTAACTGTTAGCTGCTATCACTATGGCCGTCTCATGTCGTTGATTTGACCTTAATCCGTTTACTTTTTCACTTGGTAGGTCGAACTGTGCCGAGAATATCCGCAAGCACATTTTGCACACCGGCAAACACGAGGGGGTGAAGATGTACAACTGCCCCAAATGCGACTATGGGACAAATGTCCCTGTGGAATTCCGGAACCACTTGAAAGAGCAGCACCCCGACATCGAAAACCCCGACCTGGCCTACTTGCATGCTGGTAAGAAGGTGTCGCTTCATTCATCACGATGGCCGCAGTGTTCCTTGTGCATCGCTGTGCTTTGTTTTAATGCGGTAGCATATGTGATAGTATCTGCTCTAGGACGTATAAAAAGTACATTCTAGTCTTGTCCCACTTAACTGTGAAAACAGGTCTTTTCAATTATATTTTATTGATGGCAAATATAACAAAATAATTATCCCAGGACAGCAAAGTTAATCATAGCAGATGTTCGAAACCCAGTTGAACTGAAATTATGGTAGTTGTTTATGCTTCATATTCTGGCTAATTGGTAAAATTTTAAATTTATTTTCAAAGAATGTGATTGTAAGTGTTACACCCCATCCCTTTGTACCACCGTTTTCCAGCGAATACCTGGAGAGGAAGAGAACGTGACTGGGGAGAGGGGAGAACCGTGTGGATGGGGTACCACAGTGCCCCTCATTTCCCGGAAATCAGGAGGGCCCTGCCCCACGGGCTGTGGGGACGTTTTGGTGATGGCAGAGGCTGCTAAGATTACTCTAGCCTCGTCGGGTTAGAAGTCAGATTCTTGGAAGGATCTGAGATGTAGGACCAGCCGCAGAGTTAAGCAGACCCATTCCTGGAGCCCAGCTTTTCGTTTAGTGACAAGGATGCCTGGGTGTGGACTGCTCACTGTGCAGGACGGAGAAGTGATGGGTGATGAGTTCAGGCACCTGTTCAGGAAGTCACATCCTGGAGAGAATTTAGAGGAAGTTCCGAAACGGAACCCAAAGAGCATTGTGTTTACGTGATGCCTGTTGATACAGGGAGGCTTTACGCAGACGCTTCGGGGTCCGTTAGTGCTGCGTTTTCTCTGGGCTCCGTCCCCGGTTGGGGCCACGTGACCATGGGCTGACCTCGTCTCGCTTCAGACCTCTCACGTGTAAATCCGTGTGGTGCTGTCTGTTAAAGGGTCCTCGTGGGAATTAAGAAGGTAACAGCACTGTATCTGTTAGGCCTGGCGTGGGCAACGGAGGAGTGGGGGTCGTGTGGTGACTCTGGAGACGTGACTATAGTGTTTGAAAGTCAAGGGCAACTCCACTCGAAATGCAAGACTTTGTTTGCAAAATATGTGAACAGCGTGCTCATGTAATATCTACGTGAAAGGAAACAAAACTTAATGGTAATTTGAGTTACAATAATAACACATTTGACAATGTCTGCATATAAGGTTACTATTTGTTTTCTGCTGACGTGTTCTTTCGGATTTCTTTGTTTATGCTCATATGATTGACTTTTTAAAGTAATGGTAGAATGTTTGATTTCGTAATCTCTGTTGTATCCAAGGCTATTTTGAAAAAAAAAAACAAAAAAAACAAACAACTGAGGTCAGTACTCCGCGTTTCAGAGGTCATTACTGGTTTTGAACTAGACAGTTTATCAGCTTTGGGTCACGAAAACAGATGAAGTCAAAGTGAGGCATCTTCTGGCCATCAGTCCTGCGGGTCCTTCATTAACATGAACGCGCGGCCATGCGGACGCCAGAACCGCCGCCTTAGAAGGAGGCGCTTCAGGAAACGGCCGGGCAGACCCCGTCCGTGGATGGTGGGCTGTGAGCACGTGCCGCCGCTCCTGCCCGTCGTGCCAAGCACATCGAACGTGGGGCATTCCCCTGCAGTAGCTCTGGCCTTTAAATGAAGTCGACACGGGACGAAGGGGGCGGGGCGCTAGCTGCAGAGCTCAGAAATGCGTCCTGTCGTCGCTCTGCACGGGAGGGACAGGCCGCTTTGCTTCCCCGCTGCCGCGCTGGCGCCGAGTGACCCGCGTGATGTCTGGGATATCATCTGTGTAAAACAGTTGTAGAGAAGTTATTCTAGTTTCCTTGTGTGTATGGGATGCCCGTGTGTATATAACCCTGGTTTTCCGTTTACATGTCAATAATCCTGTTAAAAACTTTTCTACGTAAGTCGTAGGAACGTTCCTCAGTGTTTTCGCAAACAAAGCCCACGTGGCACGTAAAGCGTGTCCCCTGTTCACGCCTCCTTCTGGTGGCAACACTGCTCTTCAATAATGTTTTTGCTTTGATAGACTTAGTTTGGTTAAGGAAAACCTTTAAAAAGGTAAAGTTGATGTGTCTATAGCATGTATATCAAACATCTAAAAGACTGTTAGAAGTTAAACATTAAACAACAGAAGAAACGAGAGATCGTAAGCGGTGTCATGTGGGGTATTTTAACTTTTAGTTGAAATGCTATTTGGAATATGTTAAAGGCAGGCATTTTATTCTTTGTTGGAAACGGTCCTGAGAAGGAGGGTTCTCCGGTGTGCGCTTTCCCGCGCGTGCCCGCATGGAGGGGCAGCTGCGGCTGTGTGGGCCACGGGTGTGCAAGGCCACAACCAGCACCCCGGGAGACCAGACTCACATTCCCGAGGGCCACCTTGCGAGGCCGGCAGGACCCCCACCCCTCTGAGTGTCAGATCCTTCTCTCCTCAGTCAGGAGTTGAACCGTCTTGAAAGCGCCTCCCGGAGCTTCTGTAGGTCTGGCGCTGGGACAGGACAGTTTTTACCTTCAGCTCTCTCCCCGTGTTGGAGGAGCCCCGTGGGTCTTGTTTTCCCCTCTGCACGATGGGCCTGGTGATGCCCAGGACACGGCTTCTCGGCGATCTGGTGGCACGACGTGTGAACTGCCGGCTGCGACTCTGCAGGGCACCCGCGGCTGCTCACTGTTCTCTCTCTCTCTCTCTCTCTCTCTCTCTCTCTCTCTTTTTATACCTACAGCACTTGGTCTTTCTAGGCGGTCTCCCATCCAAGTACTAACCAGGCCCGACCCTGCTTAGCTTGCGAGCTCGGACGGGATCGGGCGTGTTCAGGGTGGCGTGGCCATAGGCTCTCTTTTGCTTCTGTTGGTGATCTGTCATCTTCTCAATAATTGGGAGAATTAGAAGGATGATTTTGTTATCATTTTCCATTTCCTATTCTAGAGAATTAAAGGCTCTATGTAAGCTTAATTTTGGTTGTAGCTTTGTTTGAAAAACAAGATAAAATGCTTAGTTTTTAAAATAAAAGTGGATTATTTAAAAATCTAGTATTCGATTTTCAGGCATTTCAGGATTTTCTACTAACTGTTTTGTTAACTATAGAAATAGTAATATAAATTGATTTCTATTGTGTTTTTGCTGTGCTTACATAACATAATCCGAATTAATTTGTTTACGCTTTCTTCACGCCCAGCACATGGCGAGTTTCAGTAAATGTCTGAGACATGCCAGAAAGGAGCGTGAACTACGGTGTTGTTTGGTGCCATGTTCTGTGTTCCCCGTGTGTCACTTAGGTCAAGTTTGTTTACTGTGTCGTTCAGATTGTCTGTGTTCTCACTGACATTTTTTTATGCTAGCTCTATCAACTGTTAGGAGAGGTATGTTAAAATTGCCCGCTGAGACTGTGGATTTGTCTGTTTTTCCTTTGAATGCTATTATTGTTGGCTTTGCATATTTTGAAGATGTATCTCTGGGTACTGGGAACTTTAGGGTTGCTCCGCACGCAGACCCCCCCGATGCAGGATAGACACGTGCTCCCTCGTGACTGCGAAGCGCCCCGTGCACCTGCAGTCCTGCCTCTGGCCGGCGCTGCACGGAGTAGCTCGCCAGCCCCCTCGTCAGCAGCGTGCAGCTGCGCCCTGTTTGCTGTGACGGTTCTGCTCCTTTCGTGAAACAGTCATTTATTTTAGTATTTACACTTCACATGATTATTGCTGTAGTCCCTGTAGTCACAAACCAAGATAATGCAAAGGTCCACGGAGTGGGATGTGGGAGGCCACACACTCGCCTGCTAGAACAGAGCGCCGAACGGCGGTGGGGACCAAGGACGACGAATAAGCGCACAGTAACATCAGGGGATGAGCTAAGTTACACACAGGACCACGTTCCACACGGTTCCATCTTCAGTACATGTGAGGACGGCTCAGAGGACCGCCGGTGTCGGAGCCACGTCTGTTGTCCCTCGGGACAGCGGTCACTGGGATGCCGAGCGGGGGTCAGCGGCTCTGCTTTCTGTCCCGCAGAATGGGATGCTGTTGTCAGCCAGAGAAATTCCTGAAGCCCTCCATGAGTCGTATACTTTTCTGTATGTACTTTTTTGTTGTTGTCTAAACAGCATCCCCTTACCCTCCAAGGATCTAAAAAGGTTCATTTAGGTCCCCCTAGATCTAATATGATGAGATGTGACAATTCCGTGAATGCCCACGAAGTTGACATCGAATTAGAAGTGCCCAGAATTCTTTCTGTTATTGTACCTTATAATTTTTTCCTTTTTAGTGAAACCCATTTTACTTCAAAAACGATCTTTATTCGGTCTTCATAGTTCTCGAATTGCACTTCTACCATCTGTCATTCATGAATAAGCTCGGTGTTCATTCACGCACCTTGAGAAAGAATTAAATATGCTTTTATGTTTGCAGTTCGAGTGACCTTCAGTCGGACTTGGGTGGTTATACCTCAGACTGCTTGAAACATAACCCAAGAAGGAGGATGATGACAGAGAAGGCGGGGGGAGGCCGGAGCGTTGGGGGTGCTGAGGCTCTCCCATCATGCCTGAGAAAGAGGCTTTTTTTGTCTTGGATTCTAGGTGACAGACTGACAGTTGTGCCTTTGCAGCTCAGAGAGCTTTTCTGCTGGCGAAGTAACGCTCACAGCTTGTGGATAAAGTTCCCGGGAGCCAGAGGCCTATGGCCACTGTGTGGGGTCTGGCCCTGCGTCAGGCTGTGACGTTGACATCATTTTTGCACTTTTTCCTCTGAGAAGCTGGGACTTTCGCGTAGTAGATATTTATGACTTTTCTAGACGTAATGATCAAATAGTAGTTTCTTTTCAGGGAAGAATAAGCATTAAGAGGTGACAAGAATGTTTTCTCTAATTTCTTTGATTTTTCTTCTGTCACCGTTTTTTTTTTCTTTATCATTTAAATTGATATGATTTTCCTCAATTCTTACATATTAAGACTTAATCATTTCAAAATATACATTAGATCATCACCTGAGCAC